AAGAAGCCAGTGCAGGAAAGAATCAAAACTATTTCTTCTCTTCCTGTACCGACTTCACACAAGGCCTTACGCCAGTTCCTAGGATTAATTAATTTTTCCAGAGAATTCATTGAAGGGTTGGCTGAAAAAGCCAAACCTTTATATGATCTCTTGAAAAATAGTGAATCTTCATTTGGACCATGGACAGATGAACATCAGAATGCATTTGAGGTACTTAAAAGAGACTTACAGGTTGCACCTGCTTTAGCGACAATACAGCCAACTGCATCTTTTGCAATTCAAGTACATACTTCAGAGACGGCTGTCTCCGCAGTACTATTACATTTGCAGCAAGAGATATGGAGAATAGTGGGATATTTTTCTAAGATTCTTTCCTCAGTGGAAAAAGGGTTAGAAATTTGTGCCAGACATTTGGTAGGAATACATTTTACGGTAATGGCAACTGAACACATAGTGGACATAATTCTGCAAACACCACATACACCTTTGAAATTACTTATTGAAAAAGGAATTCCAGGTGTGTCACATCAGAGATTTTCACAATGGTTAATAGCGCTATCATCAAAGCAAATTAAGTTAGAACATAAGGCAAAGTATGTACTTCCACAACTAATGCAATATGAGGGTAAACCCCATGAATGTTTAGCAGAAGTTGAAGAGAATTTTCTTTCTCTTTTCAGAAAGGAAGCAAGTGAATCTGCTGAACCTGTGTTTGTTGACGGGTCCAGATTCTATTCAGATGGGAAGTACTATACAGGTTATGCTATATGGTATCCAAAACGAGGATATTCAGTAGAACATAAATTGCCAGGTCATTTGTCAGCACAGAGAGCAAAACTAGAAGCATTAAAAACAGTACTAACACTTGAGAAAAAAAGAAGGGCGTCCCCTAGTGATATATAGTGATAGTTCATATGTGGTTAGATCACCAACAGAACATTTAGCTATATGCAGGGGTCAAGTCCTGGGGAAAAAAGTGTGGGAACTCACCCAAGATTCCCGCCCCCCCCCCTTCCCCTCATTAAAAAAAAAATTACACTCCTATGCATATAGTGCAGTGCAGGGTGTGTATAATGAATGTAGTGTGTTTGTAGTGAATGCAGAGTATGAATAATAAATGTAGTGTGTTTGTAGTGAGTGCAGTGTGTATAATAAATGTAGTGTGTTTGTAGTGAGTGCAGAGTGTGTATAATGAATGTAGTGTGTTTGTTGTGAGTGCAGTGTGTGTATAATGAATGCAGTGTGTATAATGAACGTAGTGTATTTGTAGTGAGTGCAGAATGTGTATAATGAATGTAGTGTGTGTAGTGAGTGCAGAGTGTGTATAATGAATGTAGTGTTTGTAGTGAGTGCAGTGTGTGTAATGAATGCAGTGTATTTGTAGTGGGTGTAGAGTCTGTATTATGAATGCAGTGTATGTAGTGTGTTTGTAGTGAGTGCAGAGTGTGTATAGTGAGTGCAGAGTGTGTATAGTGAATGCAGAGTGTGTATTGTGAATGCAGTGTGTTTGTAGTGAGTGAAGAGTGTGTATAATGAATGCAGTATGTGTGCTGGATGATGTGTGTGCGCACTGGATGATGTGTGTGTGTGTTTGTGTATGCTGGATGGTGTGTGTGTGTGTGTGTATGCTGGATGAAGTTTGTGTGCACTGGATGATATGTGTGTGTATGCTGGATGATGGTGTGTGTGTATGCTGGATGATTCGAGTGTGTGTGTATGCTGGATGGGGTGTGTGTGTGTGTGCTGGATGGTGTGTGTGTATGCTGGATGGTGTGTGTGTGTTGGATGATGTGTGTGTATGCTGGATGGTGTGTGTGTGTGGATGGTGTGTGCTGGATGATGTGTGTGTGTGTGTGTGTGCTGGATGGGTGTGTGTGTGTTTATGCTGGATGGTGTCGTGTGCACTGGATGATGTGTTGTGTGGCTGGATGATGTGTGTGTGGTTGGTGTGTGCTGGATGATTATTGTGTGGATGGTCGGTGTGTGCTGGATGGTGTGTGTGTGCTGGATGGTTGTGTGTGTGTATGTGTGTGTGTGCTGGATGATGTGTGTGTGCTGGATGGTGTGTGTGCGTGTGCACTGGATGATTGTGTGTGTGTTGGAAGGTGTGTGTATGCTGGATGATGTGTGTGCACTGGATGATGTGTGTGTGTGCACTGGATGATGTGTGTGTGTGTTGGAAGATGTGTGTGTATGCTGGATGGTGTGTGTGTGTGTGTGTGTGTATGCTGGATGATGTGTGTGTGTATGCTGGATGATGTGTGTGCACTGGATGATGTGTGTGTGTTGGAAGATGTGTGTGTGCACTGGATGTGTGTGTGTGTGTGTTGGATGATGTGTGTGTATGTGGATGGTGTGTGTGTGTGTGTGTGCTGGATGATGTGTGTGTGTGTGTGTATGCTGGATGATGCGTGTGTGTGCTGGATGATGTGTGTGTGTGTGTGTGTGTTTATATGCTGGATGGTGTGTGTGTGCGCACTGGATGATGCGTGTGTGTGCGCATTGGATGATGTGTGTGTGTGTTGGAAGGTGTGTGTATGCTGGATGATGTGTGTGTGCACTGGATGATTGTGTGTGTGTATGCTGGATGATTGTGTGTATATGCTGGATGGTGTGTGTGTGTGTGTATGCACTGGATGGTGTGTGTGTGTGTGCACTGGATGATGATGGTGTGTGTGTGCACTGGATGATGTGTGTGAGTATGCTGGATGATGGTGTGTGTGTGTATGCTGGATGATGGTGTGTGTGTGTGTATGCTGGATGATGCGAGTGTGTGTGTATGCTGGATGGGGTGTGTGTGTGTGTGCTGGATGGTGTGTGTGCATGCTGGATGATGTGTGTGTGTGTGCACACTGGATGATGTGTGTGTGTGTGCACTGGATGGTGTGTGTGTGTGCACTGGATGGTGTGTGTGTGTGCACTGGATGATGTGTGTGTATGCTGGATGATGTGTGTGTATGCTGCATGGTGTGTGTGCGCGCGCGCGCTGGATGATGTGTGTGCGCGCACTGGATGATGATGGTGTGTGTTGGATGATGTGTGTGTGTGTGTGTGTATGCTGGATGATGTGTGTGTGTATGTGCGCTGGATGATGTGTGTGTATGCTGGATGATGTGTGTGTGTGCGCTGGATGATTTGTGTGTGCTGGATGGTGTGTGTGTGTGCACTGGATGATGTGTGCGTGTGCTGGATGGTGTATGTTGGATGGTGTATGTGTGTATGTTGGGTGGTGTGTGTATGCTGGATGATGTGTGTGTATGCTGGACGATGTGTGTGTGTGTGTGTGTGCATTGGACGATGTGTGTGTGTGTATGCATGCTGGATGATGTGTTTGTGTGTGTGTCTATATATTTTTTTTATTTTATCCCCCCCTTCTTACCTTGTCAGGGAGGGGGGAGATCGCCTGGTGGTCCGGTGGAGGGAGGCAGCCGCTGCACACAGGGGCCATCACACTCTCCAGCTCTAACTCTCGCGAGACTCGCCTGTGCAGAGCATTGCCATGGTAACCCGTGGCAACGCTCCGGACAGCCGCTGGTCTCGCGGATGTGAGCAGCTGGAGAGGGAACACAGCGTGTGATGGCCCCTGTGTGCAGGTAGCAGGGCAGGTCCTGCAGGACTGCTAACGGGAACGGCGTTCCTGCTTTGGAAAAATATTATGGCTATATGGAAAAGAAGAGGGTTCGTAGATGCCTCAAATAAAGTGTTAGCACACAAAGAGACACTAGAGACCATATTTGGAATTGGGTCTCAAGAACCATGTTTACATGCTATAGTTAAAGTTCCTGCCCATCAAAAAGGTAAAAATTTACTTAGTGAAGAAAATGAAATAGCTGATAAATTGGCAAAAAGAGCAGCTTTAACTGGTGAAAATGCATTGCAGACAGAGCCTATGTCAGTAGCAGTTGTTAGAAAGACTAACACACAGCCTCCATCTTTTGCAGAAGAACAGGCAAAGGATTCTTCCCTTGCGGCTTCTCGGGTTGATCCAAAACCTCCATTTGTTCATGAGAACGGGGTTTTGTGTCATGACCAAAATGGAGAACTGTGTCCGGTCATGCCAGAACATCTAAAAGTGTTATTTACACAATATAATCATGAAAGTTTAGGTCATATTGGACAGCAGAAACTGTTAGAGGTACTCAGAGATAAGTTGCATTGGGATAACATGGAAAAGACTGTACAACAGGTAGTGCAATCATGTTTGATATGTGCACAAATAAATCCCAGACCTAAAGGACAAAAACCGCCTATACAACGTATAGCATCTGCAAATGGTCCTTGGTCTACTTTACAAATTGATTTAATTGGGCCATTACCAACAGGTAAGAATGGATTAAAATATGCGTTAGTAGTTGTGGATGTATTCTCTAAATGGTTAGAAGTAATTCCACTGACTAAAGATGATTCACAAAAAACGGCTGAAGCGTTATGGACACACATTTTCTCAAGATGGGGTTTTTCTAGGCTTCTAGAGTCAGACAGAGGTACCCATTTCACAGGGAAAATCATACAAGCACTGTTTGCTATTCTAGGCATAGAGCAGAGATTCCATGTTCCATATCATCCACAATCTGCTGGGATTGTGGAATGTATGAATCGAACACTGAAAGCTAGACTTTCAAAAATGTTACTTGAGAAAGGGAACACATGGGTACAGGCACTACCTGCTGTACTTATGGGTATTAGAGGCACTATGTCTTCAGCTACACAATACACTCCATTTGAATTGATAACAGGTGGGAAAATGCAATTAAATTTTCCTAATGAACCATATTTGTCTACCCCACAGAAAGATGCAATTGCTAAAAATAAATGGTTGCAAATGCTGAAGGAAAATTTGGAGCAAATTCTTCAACATGCAGCTACTCGTGTGTGCAAAATGACACCTCCTGATTTTTCAAAGTTTTTAAAGGGGGGTATGGTCATGATAAAAACTTTTAGGAAAACTGGACCTTGGGAGGCAAACTGGGAAGGTCCTTATAACATAACAGATACAATGGGACAAACAATGGTACAAGTGCAAAGACCTCTTGATGGTTCACGGAATAAACGGAGGCAAAATTGTTTTTGGGTTCATGCAGGTCAGTGCAAATTGTATAAACCTACAACATAATTTGATAATATATTGATACTGCTTTGTTTTTCTTAGTTTATTTTAGATAATTTGTAAGCAGACCTACAGGCGAAATTGGCCGGTTACAGAAGATGTGTTTGCCAAGACAACTGTGTAGCAGAAAGAAGTTGTTCATCAGCATCCTGCTAACATTGATGACTACAGTTCTTGTAATAGTTATATTTAAGATGAACAAGACAACTTTCAATCAGGAATTAAAGAATGACTTATTGGGAAATATTAGAAAAAAGAGAGACAATGAACAAGTATTAAAAGGTCATGTTTGTTTCGAGACAAAAGATGGCTATCTACAAGTATGCAATGTGCGAATTAATTTCACAGGAGATAGTGTTATTAATTTTAACATTACAATAGGTCCTAATGATTTATTTAGTTGGACCAAAAAGTTCATTTGTACAAAATAATGTAAAAACGGGATCATGGGAACGTAACAAATTAAAAAATGCATATATCATGATTGTAGTTAATGGAGAGGAAATGGTAAATTGGTCAGGTGACATGTATGTGAAGATTGCACAAACTTCAGTAACAACACGAGGGCGAAGTGGTGAGGTACTTTATACAATTCAATATTGGCTTATACATTTAGAGCCAGAATTCCTCTTAAAAAACAATACTCCAGGTATACCTTGGATATGGGAAATACGAGCATCTAGTGAATCGTTGACAGTAAGAGTTAACATGATGTTTCTAGTAACTGATTATGTTATGCAAGATATTATAACGAAGCCTAGTCTTGTAGATATCCAGGAAGGAAAGGAAAGACTTAGATTAACATGTAGTACACATATAAGTTTACCCCCTGAGTCTGTAATGACATGGAAAAGGGAAGGAATGTTTTTGGGTAGTATGTCACATACAACGCCAAAGGTTATTCACAGAGGTGTACTAGAAAAGGTGGATTGGTTGGAAGAAATGTTTGTTTTCTATTTAGACAATCCTACCTACAGTGATAGTGGAAACTATCAATGTTGTATAATGTTAAGAAATCATCGAGAGATGTGGTGATGTTAAAGTAAATGTATTCTCTCCCAGAATGGTAGAATGCAAAAATAAGGTTTTTAAGTTATCAAGTCCCTTTCAATTGAATCCTTTTCAATCAAAGCCTTTGATATTAGATGGGAAATTTGCAACAATAGTTTGGCATTTTAATGTTTCTCAGTGGAAAATTTAAAGTAAATTTCCACAATGTAAGGAAAACTTCTTAAATATGGAACGAGGCTTAGAACATTGGTTTGGAGGAAGTAAAGTATCAGACAGGAAAAAAAGAGATATAGTAGAAGGAATTATGGCTGGATTTAGTACTATAGAAAGTATCAATTCTATGGATATTCAAACATTAAAGAATGATTTGGGAACTGTAGGGTTAATAGGGGGAAAATGATTGCATATTCAAAGAGGTTTAAATCAAATATTGAAAAATATGGTTATGAACACAGCCTCTGTTATTGCACCCTCTGTTCAACATTTACAGGAAGCTACTTTGGCATTTATGAGAAATGCAGATTCATCCCAGGTAGCCAAAAAGCTTGTTTGGAGATACAAGTTGAATATTCTACAGATTTTAAGGTGATGGCACAAGCATTACAAGGTGGTGTTACTCCTATAGAACTCAAACGTAGTTTACCTGAGGAGTTTGCGTTCACTAAAAATCATACAGATTTATGGGTTAACAAATGGTTGGGATGTAACAATGATATATGTATAAGTTCTTCTTTAATACCAATTTCTGGTATTGAAAAACACTATTTTCAGTGTTGGTGTTAGGGATTCCTATTAGTAACACACAATTATTATTATATAAATTACAATATCCTGATTTTGTATCTTATAACAACATTACTGAACTTGAGCGGGTAGATCTTTCTAGTTGTCTACATTTTGCATCCAAAATAATATGTTTAAATAACCAAGTTGAAACCATTTATCATTCATGTTTTCAAACCAAACTTCATGTTCCGGTAAAATTAAAACAGTTAAAAATCCTCATGAAATTGTAACTCCCATAGAAAAAGACAATGTATGTGTACAGGTTATGTCAAATAATGAGTTAGTAAGAGCTACATTTTCAGAATGTACACATTCATAAACATTACTGAAAGGGTTATATTGCATCAATGGGGGTCCACTAATAATACATATACAAGGAACTCAAGTTAATATATCGAAGAGTCCTATACAAGAGATAGATATCATGCCTATTCAATTAAATGTTTCACAAACAAATGAGTTTCCATGGAGAAAGTGGGCAGATGAGATTAAGAAAGACAAGGTATTATTATATTCATTACAGAAACAGTTGAAAGAAACAGAAATTCAATTTGAACATGAACAGGGTAAATTAAAGGAGATAGAAAATGAATGGTCAATTGTTTCTAGTTCCTCTTGGTGGAAAGACATAATTAAAAGTACAAACACACTTGCTAAACCATCTGTAGGATCAGCAATTGTAAATATTTTATTTCATCAATTTATTATTGTTATATGTGTATCTATAATATGTATCGTTTTACAAGTAATTATGCAATGGAGAATTAGAAAACTGTATATACTCGTAAATGAAAAGGTTAAACAGTAGGAAAATACACTAAAGGAAACTGTAAACAGGGTAATACACAATACTTCCAAGGAATCTCAGATACTGGGTAGCTATGAACACATCTCTTCTTATACCCAATGACTGTGATATGAATGTGATACGAATGATGTATGAATGGACAGGTAAATAACATTTTTCTATGGTTTATAAATAAACCATAAACAGAGGGAAATGTAGAATATTGCATATTCTATATGTTCCTATTCAAATACATATTAAGGTGTGGCTGTCTAATGGGTTAAAAAGAACAGATCGGGTTTGCTATTCTGTACCAAGGATTCTGGAATGCGGTATATGGGGAATTTCCTTATATGGCCAAGAGTCTAAACTAAACGTTGTGATGTAATTTTGGCTATAACGGGCAGAGGACATAGGATCCGTTTTGCTCTCCTCTCTGATGTCCTGAGTTGCTGATAGAAAGACGACTCTCTGTAACGTCGTTAAGAAATGCCATCTGTTAAGTATATTATTGTTTGCTGTTGAAGTAGAATAAAAGCATATTTTTTATAAAGAACATCTGATTGTGTATTAATACTTTTCATTAATATAGACATATATTAGTAGTGCGAGCCTCTAACCCAAAGAAGAAATATCTATATATAAAAGACTTATTCAGCTAAAGAAACACACAGCCAGTTATAACAGTCCTACTCTATATCCATCTGATACGATAGGTATGTGAACCCAGTGGTCGTTACATCTCCCCCCCCCCACCACCCCCTCCCCATCCTGCAACCAAAACTAGGGTAAGACTTTGTCTACTGGCTGATAGGTTTCAGAGTTCACTTATTTAGTTTTTCTGGCCTTCTTGCCTAGTCTGAGTGGTCCCTCGAGGTCAACGTCCATCCTCATACTGTGAGGTACTCACGCCCAACGGCCACCTCATAGTTAATCACCTCTTGGTATAGAGAGAGCATCACCCTGTCATTCCCATGCTATCTTTTGCTTTACTGGTCACAGAAAGGCAGTCACCCCGCCATATTTTCAGTGGCCACAAAATCCCCTCGGGCCAACACATAGCTAGAGCCTCTCATGCCACTTGGCAATTAGTAGGGCTCCCCTCTCCATTATTAGTTAATTTTTTCACCACTTGGCATTAGATAAGCTAGCCAGGCTTTGGGGGGGTTTGGCCAAATGAAGTGTACAATGTACCAGATTTTTCCACCATTTCACTTTGGTAACTCATGAATTTTTTGTCCTATCCTAGCATGTCTCAATGACCAGAAGCTATTGAGGATTTATCAATTCCCAGCACTCCTCCAAGGTCAATCTCTTCATCTCATGGAGATGGATCACGGCCGAATTAAGGCGCAGGAATATTCCCTACCCTGCCACTGCCAGGAAGGCAGAACTTTATAAACTACTCAATACCAACACTGATAAGACCGGTGCTGGCGAAGGACCCAGTGCTGCCCAGTCATCCGACCTCCAGGCCGTCCTGTCATCAGTCTTGTCCTCGTTGGGACAGATTACTGATAGGTTGGAACGTTTGGATGCTAATGATAGGCCAGTGGCACCATCTGGATTGGTTACTCCAGAACCTACTGGTCTCTCAGGCACCCTGACTGGTAAATGTATTGGTCCACTACAGAACCCTAAAATTATCAACCCAGCTCACATGGTACCAGCAAATATTAGGAATGATATCTTGGAAGACAAGGATGTCAATCTAGTTTCGCTGCCGATTGCCTCCCAAGATATTCTGGAGAACAAGACATATTCTTATGGCGATATCGCTGTCCTACTGAAGGCTAGGGACTACAGGTTGAATAGGAAGTTATAAATTCCTGAGTTCGTCCTGGCCTTTGGTATTTAAAGGGACATGGATGTGCTCAGTTTATCCCGAGCTCAGAGAGAAATTCGACCCCTATTTACACAAGTTGGTGGACCTGATGCATAAGTATGGAGGCACATCATTTTATGATTACAACAGATCTTTCTCCGCAAAGGCGTCTGCAGCCCTGGCTCACTTCAATTTTCAGACGGACTGGAGCCAGTTGGACATGGAGCTGTTTTGCAGGCACTTCGCGTGCCTCAGGTCCCCAGCTTGTGGTATTTGCTTTTCATCCTCACATTTCATGAACCTATGTCCTAATACCCCGGAGCTGGGTGCTACCTTTCCTTTCCCGACCTCCTCAGCTAAACCTGAGAAAGTGATTAAGGACAAGCTTGGTCGTAATATTGTTTTTATGGGTAAATCCCAGATTTGCAATAACTTTTAATGTAGGTTCCTGTGGATTTAGCGCTTGCCTGTTATTGCATGTGTGTTCTCTATGTTTCAGGGCACATGCCAAGACAATGTGTCCAAATAAATTGTTTCCCAAACCCTACATAGCCTCAATTAATGTGACTTGTTTCGACAACTTATTACAGAACCATCCCTCACCACACTCAGTGGACTGTTTGGGGACTGGATTCATGGAAGGGTTCCATACATGCCATTCAGTATTGTAGAATGTAAAAACCTACTGTCTGCCCTTGCCAATCCAACAGCGGTTAACAATCTGTTACAGACTGAATTGGATCAAGGTTTCCTACTTGGACTGTTCAGTTCCCCACCATTCTCAGTATGGAGAACTAACCCTATAGGTGTTGTTTCTGGTAAAAGTTCAGTCAAGCAAAGGTTGATTGTCGACCTCTCTGCTCCCCACTCTTTCACGACCCCCAGACTGAACTCTCTCATTCCTTCAGAGGAATTCTCCCTTCAGTATGCTACCATTGTTAATATCTTTGACGCAATTATGACAGCAGGGAAAGGTGCATGGCTCAGTAAGACGGACATCATTAATGCCTTCAAGCGCCTCCCAATCCATTCTTCTTTGTGTCATTAACACTGTGTTAAGTGGCAGGGTTCTTACTATTTTTTCACTTGTCTCATTTTTGGTGCAAAAAGCAGCACCAGGATTTTCGATACCTTCGCTGAGACTTTATGCTGGCTACTGCTCAATGTCTGTAGATTGCCCACTGCTATTCATTATTTAGATGACTTCTTGACTATTGAGAGTAACTTATTTCCACCCAATAGCCTGAGAACTACGATCCAGCTATTCTAATACCTGGGGGTCCTCGTCTCCCCTAAAAAGACAGAAGGACCCGACACGATTAATTTGCTAGATTCAGTTAATATGCTTGCCAGTTTGCCAAGAGATAAGATTGAGCGCATCCTATCCAGCATCGATCTATATCTCTCTGATGGAGCTTGTAATCGTACAGAATTACAGTCTCTACTAGGCTCCCTCAAATTTGCCATGAAAATTATCCCGCAGGGCAAGGATTTTATACCTAGACTGCTCAATCCTGCCTCTGCCCTTTATCTAGACTGCTCAATAGGAAAAGCATGTTTATTCCTTTACTTACCTCTGACTCCCTTACTATTTTTTACAGACGCAGCTGCCACCTCAGGCTTTGCGGCTACTTTTGGTGATAATTGGCTTTGGGGGGTTTGGCCAAATGAAGTGTACAATGTACCAGGTTTTTCCACCATTTCTGCCCTGTTCGAGCTGTATCCTATTATAGATTCTGCAATAGCATGGGTAACAGCATGGTCAGGTCAGGCTGTGAGATGTTTTTCGGAAAACGTAGCCAACCTGCCATAAATTTGAGAAGGTTGTTCTAAATCTCTGATCATCATGAGCTTTCTGAGGAAATTGACTTGGCTGGTGGATAAGTATCATTTCTTCTTGTTATGTGTGCATATTCCTGGCATTCAGAACTTAGCAGCCGATCATTTGTCTTGCTCTCGATTTCAGGAATTCCACAAAGCGTTACCGGCGGCAGTCCTGGTGGCTACCCCGGCTCTGTCAAGGCAGGACTGTCAGGATTACTGTTTGATCCAGCACATAGAACTGTACAGCACGGATGACAAATAAGTAACGTATTACCGGTCCTTAGAATGGCCGGATTTAACGTACAAAGAATAGTCAAAAATACTAGCCGAGGTCAGGGAACACAGAAAGGGACACAGCGATGAGGAAAGCCAGGAGTCAGGATACCAGAATATAGAGAAGTCAATAAACAAAGCCAAAGTCAAAAACCAGGTAGAAAACTATAAACAGGAACGCGCTCTCAGACAACCACAAGGGAAACCACGACAGGGCACTGAGCAGGCTGAGAACTGGGCCTAAATACCCCTCCTTTAGTTCTGATAGGCTGTAACCGGCCTTTGACCCCAAAGTCAGTTACCAGGTTTCATTTGCATAATTGCTGCTCAGCATTAACCCTTCTGTGGATTAGGTTGCTGCTCGGCACAACTTTTCCTGTGTGGACAGTAAATGTCATTAACCACTTTTCTATAAGCGGATGAATACGTGACAAGGACATAACATTGGATTCGGAGACCTGTTAACTCATGGCAGACTCCTTTCACAATTAGCTTTGTCTGACAATACTAGGAAGTCATACAACAGGGCATTCTGTGTTTATAACAGATTCTTGTTGGACTTTCAGGTTGTAAATAAACATTCAATGGAAAATAATGTAGCTTTTACTTCTTTTTGCCACCTTAGTATTAGCAGATACTGTTTATACTTTTAGACAGGCTACATTTCGTTCACTTCATTTGCCAACTATTCTGACAATATACTGTATCTATTTTCATTCTGACAGTCATTAGATACTTTTTTGCGAATATACAAAGTGAACAGCCTTGAAGAATCCATGGGTACAGTGACCCCTAGTGGTCAATTATTAATATGACATTTCTGGCAGAACAATCTATACTGAGGCAATTAGTTTGTTTGTTTTTAGTGGGGCCTTGGAGATAATCTCTCTCCTTTCTACTCCAGACCCTACCACTACTAGTGTACACGTAGATTCTGAAACCTGTACACTAATATCTCTATATTCTTACTTACTATTACTACTATTTTCTGTTTAATGTTTCCTCACAATCCCTCTTTCTCCCTTTATATACGCCCTCAGTACCTATAGGTGGTCCTTTGGGTTTGTCTAGTTTTGGACACCCACGAGTATCACATTAGATTAAGAGAGGCAGTCTATTCAGGAATGTCTTTTGTATTAGACCAATAAAGTATCTTCTAGATTTTTATTAAAGGGACAGAATCTCTTTCTCTTGAAATTTCTACTATTTAGGGTTACCCCCTCATTTTCTGTCTGCCATATGTAGATAATCTCATTGCCATTCTCTCCTTTTTTCTTATCTTATCAAATCAAAACCATACTAAAAGGCATTAAAAATTCAAACCCCACACCACCATCTTCTAGATCACCTATTCATAGTCAATTCTTCCAATCATTATCGGACCTCATGGATACAACCCCTTTCGAATCACACACTAATCAAGTCATTAAACCCGCTACTACTACTTAGCTTTCAATGGGTTCCTCAGACCCGAAAAGTTTACCACTACAAACATCACATCCCAAGACAACATTAAGAGATCCCAGATTGTAAAAATACAAGATCACTACATGCTATCCCTCAACCACACTAAAACCACACCAAAAAAAAAAAAAAATCAACTGGTAAAGATCCCATATTACCCTACCGGCAACAAAGGGTGCCCGGTACAAGTACTAGATAAATTCCTAACCATTGTTCCAAGTTCCCCCGACCAACTTTTCTTTACCTTACATGGCAATGCTCTCACCAATAGTAAATTTATGCTCTATATTAGAGTATTATTGGCAAGGTTAAGCCTTAATCCATCCCACTACTCAGGACACTCCTTCCGCATTGGAGCAGCCACAACTACTTCCAGTACAACCGACTGTTTATATTTTTCATTTAGTTATATGGCATACGTTATATACTGTCATTGCGGCTTTCTGTACCCTGAACACAAATATATATAAAAAAAAAAATATATATATATATATATATTTTTTTTTTTCCTCATTGTACATGCAGGAATTAAAGCAAAATAAGGTAATTATGACAGAATGCATTCAACTATTTAAATCTACACTCTGGGCATCAATGCTATTTTAGTCTCATTGAAATGGTGTATATTGAGTTTTTGTGTTTTAAATTTTTTTTTGCAAAATTCTGCAGTATTTGTTTCCGTATCAAATGTATGCACAGCTCAGTCATTGAAGGATCCTCTAATACAGATTGCTTTGTAGTTCAGGACAGGATACCAACAGAGACATATAGTAAGGATATCACTACCTGCAGCCAGTTTGTGAATTTCAAGCAGCTCACCCGGTGACATTGATAAGGAAGTCTTTCTGGCATGGGGGGAGGGGGCTCTAAGGACTTATGGTGCAGCAATCTGTAAAACATTTTTTGTGTGCAAAAAGTAAACATTTGAGCATGCACAAATTTGCATATCAATCAGGGCTAAATATTAAATTGGTATTGGTGCTCAGAGTATACCTTACAGTATATATTACAGTGTAGCTGCAATTCAGAGTTTATATGTGATACCAATACTTTGTGGAGGGTTTGTAATGAGTAATCCCGAATTAATATAGATTTTATTCTACGCAAATTTCTTCTGTCAAAAGGTGCAACACCATTGGGAAAAACAACCCTCTTCTACCGGTAGTAGTATTTGCAGAGTTTTTCTGAAAAAACCCACAAAACAAAACAAAACAAAACAAAAAAACAAACATACAAAGGGACAAAGTCACAGAACAAATTACATGGAGTAATTTTCATAAACTGAAGCCTGCAATTAACTAGCACAGTCATTTAGGCCTTATGTTGTAGTCTCACGGTAAATTCTTCACAATCAACAAGGCATGCTGACTAAGGTATAAAGAAATTTTAGGCAAAAATTAAAACATTGTTATTTACAGACTTTCAATCTCATTAGGGCAGACATTTAACAGCCATTGTGTTTATTGTTAGGCATACTGGAAGAGTGCCCCAGAAGAACTCTCAATAGATGTATGTAGGTGACAAAAGCAGAAAACATTTTCTGAATGCTGTCAATTATTTTCCAATGAGGCTTTAAAGTTGTAGTATTTAATTTATCACAGTAAGCAATCTGTTGCATGAATACAAATGCCACACCAGCTCTTTAAAAGGTTGTAATCTATATTTAAAAAGGAAACAAAAACAAAAAAAACATGAGTGCAAAATGTATTTCAATAGAAAAAAATAAAGTAAACAAACCAGTCTCAATTGTCAAGATTACTCCAGTCTTTATACAACCCCCCCATAACTATCAAAACATATCCCAGGATTATAATTCAATGCTGGTTTCTGGTGAACAGCACAGTCTAAAAAGATTTCAGGCAATTTGCATGTTTTATACATTTGCATACAATCACATTTAATTGGAGGATGCCAATATATGGCATTTCTTTCCCAGGTCAATTCTAAAAACAGCCAGTTGATTAACCCAGAGTCACAAGGTGCATGTATGAACACACGATTTCCCCCTCACATTAAAACCAAGTCCACCCATTGTCAACGTTTCCATCATAAACCAGTCTTGTACATGGTCATAAGGCCACTCTGATGCAATGGTGTTTGAGCTTGCATGGCAGAATTCCTTTGTTCAGCTGATAAAACTCAACAAGTTGAATCAAATCTGTGAATTTGGTATTCCCATCATCAAGGCTAAAGAACAATTGCCCATCGTCTTCACACTGGGGGAGAGGGAGAGAGAAAAGTTAATTCATAGTTACCTTATTTCC